GTTTTGTTCTTCATTTTAATATTCTAGCCGTTGTGTAGCTACTTTTGTGTTCTTCAAACACATCTTCTTACGGTCGAGAATAGCCGTCAAATTCTCACGTTGTAACGGTTAAGGATAGCCGTATAAATCCTTGGGTAAAGGTTCAAGGATAGCCTTTGAAATCCTTGGGGGAACGGTAGAAGATAGCCGTTAAATCTTTGTTGTAAACGGTTCGAGATAGCCGTTGTGAAATCTCGGAGTGAATCCTATTGGCAAGGGTTGTTTGCCAAAACTAGTGCGGTGCTTTGACGGAGTTCAAGAGGCCGAGACTTAGTGGATTCGGAAATCCTTGAGGAGGAGCCTCGAGGTACTGGAGTAGGGGTTTCCCGAACCAGTATAAATTCGGTGTGCATTTTATTTACGCTTTTATTTTTGCGTTTTATTTATTGCTTCCGCATTTGCCAACACCGTTTTTATTAAACTCCGAAAAGTGTTTAAACGCCTTATTCACCCCCCTCTAAGGCATGGGCACAACGACTAAACCGACTAACAAGGCTAGTGGCAACCGGGAATTGGTAGAGAAGGTGGGGTGCTAAGAGATGCCGGTGATGGTGGCCGAAGGTTGTGGTGGGGGGGGGCTTGCGGCGACCAGGAATTGGTAGAGGTGGGGTGGGAAGAGATGTCGGCAATGGTGGCTCGCAGAAATTGGGGGTTCATTGAAGGGTATTTTGGACCATTCCTCCACAAAGTCAACCACTCTTAAAAATGAGGAAAATTCAAACCGGGAACATCATTCCCGGACGGAGGGAGTAAATGTTATAATTGTAATGAACAAAAGTATGAAACTAAATACTACGTTGTTTCAGAATGAACATTACATTAATTAAAAATGGATATCATGTTATTTCAAAATGAATACTCTTTTACTTGATAATAAATACTTATTTTTTGTAAAAATGAGTACTCGTACAATATACGGAGTAGAAAATTAGAAATAGCTCTCCATGTTCATAGGGAACATCTAAATTGCCCCATCTATGGCGAACGAGTCCCAAATAAGCCACGGGACACTGGCCTAGCCGAAAACGAAGAAGCGCTTTTGTGGGTATCAATACTCTTGTCCGGAGCCCACGTTCTCTCTCTATCATGTGAGAACTCCAATTTCTCCCAATCTCACTTCTGGAGATCTGATATAATCGTGCAATATTTTCGGGTAAGGTTTTATGCGTGTTTTTAAATGATTTGATTGTTCATGTTTGATTATTTCTGATTTTAATACGAGTAAATGTTAAATAAACTACACGCCACTTTGATGTCTCGATTTTTTGTTGTCAACTTGTTGCATGCTTGATGATCAGCCTCTTGCTAGAATTATATATTGTATTCGTTCATTTTTCTCTTATGTTTTTTTCCCTGTTTCTAGGGATGGATTTTGATGAGAGTCTATTGGGAAGCATATATTGGGATTATTTATGCCTATATGTATGTTTTTGAAAGGGTTGCCTTTATAGCTTTTACTTTAGTATTTTGATCCCTCTGTCGAATTCTTATGATTGTATTTGGGAATGAAACATTTCTCTGTCGAATTCTTATGATTGTATTTGGGCTCATTAGGTTGCTAAGATGAAGCTGTGTTTATGTTGTGGAGTTGTGTGTGTTTGAGAACTTAATACATGGATAAGGATAGAGCGTCAAGCCTGGGAGGGGGTTCACTGCCTCCATGTGGGAGATATTCTCCTTTTGCTTCATCCAATGATGGTTTCAGTGGGAAGCCAGAGCCTTCTAGATCATTCAATTTGCCTCCATTAGTGGGTGCTTCAGGCACAAGCCATTTTGGTATTGGAGCGACTTCAGATTCAAATTGCTTCAGTCAGGATATTAGCCAAATGCCTGAAAACCCACCAAAGAATTTGGGCCACCGACGTGCCCACTCTGAGATTCTTGCACTTCCTGATGACATCTGTTTTGATAGTGATCTTGGAATCGTTGGTGGATTTGATGGACCATCATTGTCAGATGAGAATGAAGAGGACCTTCTCTCTAGCTATTTTGATATGGATAAGTTTAATTCATCCTCTGCCACTTCATCATTCCTAGGTCATGGCTCATCTTCTTCACCAGCTGGTGTTTCGTGCTCATCTCAGGCTCCTTCATCAGCGACACCATTAACTGATAATGTTACTTCTGCTGTTAGTGAGAAACCCAGAATAAGGCATCAGCATAGTCAGTCAATGGATGGTTCAACTACCATCAACCCAGAAATGCTGAGATCAGGCGCCGATGAGCCTTCTACTGCTGAATCTAAAAAAGCCATTTCTGCTGCTAATCTTGCTGAGCTTGCCCTTATTGATCCAAAGCGTGCAAAGAGGTAACTAATCAGATGAATCATTGATTTTTCTATTCGTGAAAAATATTTGAGCTCTATAAAGATATTGAATACCTTAGCCTATTATGCCTTGTGAGCTATCCAGATGATATCTTTGTGTGTGGTCCTGGAGGTATGCTTTAGACAGTATATTAGCATTTCCATTTTCTTTCCATTCTTCTGGTAGGTCCTATTTTATATTTTACAGAGTAATAAAAACTGTTTATTCTTTCAATCACCCTCCAGAGTTGTAGCATTGCATATTATTTTTTGCATACATGGAACACAAAGGTGAAAGAACTCAATGAACTCTTTATTTGATAGTATCAGTATATTTGAGAACTTTTAGCTGGTGGTTGTTTTATGTATACTACACCAACCTTTTGAGAAAATCCATAAATACATTGTGAGTATGTATGGCAATA